GGCCGCATCAGTAAAGCTGATCTGCCAGAAGATAGGCGGTTCCCCATAATCTTACCTAAACACGGTAGACTAGTCGAGCTGATAATCATTGGATATTGAATGGTAGACAAGCCGTTCGAAGTTACGGACAGAAGTGTGTTATCTGCCGCCGACACCGTGGCGTGACTCTTTCGCAGCAAATGGCATCATTACCAAGACAACGTATCAGTACTTCACGGGCGTTTGTGTCTTCAGGGGTCGACTATTGCGGTCCGTTTACGGTGCGCGTTGGCGCCAAACGGTCACGCACCAAGGTAAAGACATATTTAGCCATTTTTGTTTGCATGGCAACCAAGGCGGTGCATATTGAGGTTGTCGATGACCTCTCTTCGCAAGCTTTCTTGGATGCATTTACGAGATTCGTCAGCTGGCGAGGTCCTTGCCGCGATCTCTTTAGCGATAACGGAACTGCGTTTATCGGCGCAGACCGCCTCCTTCTAGAAGACTTGGCAGCATGGCACAGTGAAGGTACTCAACAGTCTTTAGCTAATAAAGGGACCTGTTGGCACTTCATCGCCCCGGGCGCTCCTCACCAAGGTGGGCTATGGCAGGCCGCAGTGAAGTATGCCAAATATCACTTAGTCCGCCTCGTTGGGACACAGGTACTATGGTACAACCGGCTTCAAACGTTGGCAACCCGCATCGAGGCGTGTTTAAATTCCCGGCCGCTCACACCGTTATATGATGACCACAATGACAAATTGGCTTTGACCCCGGGCGATTTCCTGATTGGTGCACCACTGATCGCCGTTCCTGAGGCTACGGTTACTGCAATTCCTCCCAATCGTATTAAGCAATGGCTTTGGGTGCGTCAGGTACACCAAAAATTTTGGCAACGTTGGAGCGAGGAGTATTTATCTACATTGCAAACTCGCAACAAATGGCAGAAACCTACAAGAGATGTGCAGATAGGTGACGTTGTTCTCGTACGAAACGAAATTCTTCCTCCTACTCATTAGCGTTTAGGACGCATAACTGAGATTCATCCGGGCAGCGATGGATTAGCGCGCAATGTTACGTTTCGGACGGCGAGCGGCACCATGACCCGGGCAGTACAAAAACTATGTCGGCTTCTTGATAGTGAACATTTCGAATCCACGGCCTCGACCGGGCAGGATGTTCAGAATTCGACTGATCTGGCCACCACTTAAATGCTCGTGGTAAGAAACTGGTGTCGCTGAAGAGTGGCTGCCGTCCCGTGCTCTTATACTTTCCTAATTTTATATACATATGTTTGTACCTATGTTGTCAACCCATGTACTTGTACGTAACCATATATATAAATATATTGTATGTAAGCACCGTTACCAGCATTCACTTAGCTTTGCTTTGCTATATATTTAGGGTTTTGTATTGAGTTTACCTCACAAAGAACTCGTTCAAATAAATCAAACAACCGAATAATATTTAAAATGCTTTATAACATAAAAGATTACTTAGTCTTTTACAAGATAATTACAGGTTAATAGTTTTCGTTGATATATCGGCAAGCACGTCTAAATTCGATGACATTCAGAAAGAAAAAGGAAGATGAACAGTTTTAGTGATGCCAGATTGAGTTTTATTTTACAACTCGGAAATCAGCGCAGGGTTGCATTAATTCGCGAAAATGGAATTATTGCCACAAAGTTTGCGAAAATACAAATGCCGCCACAATACTCCCCGCCTAGACGAAACTACAGATATCGTAGAGGAAAGTTAACATGCCTTCCAGAACGTGTAGATTTCGTCGATATAGGAGGTGGTGTATTCATTGGCTCGTCTTCCTGAGGAATGTGGCTCGTTGTCGGAATAGGTGCTGGTGTATCCGTTGTCTCTACTGATTGGGGAACATGGCTCGAATCTTCGTAGTCGTCACTGGCTAAGAACGCAGGCTTTAGCCGATCGATGCTTATGTTGCTGCATCGCCCTCGTATCAAAAGTTAAAAAACTTAGGCGATCTCTTAACAACGGGGTAAGGCCCGTCGTAAGGATGTGTCAGTGAAGGACGAATTGAGTCGTTTCGCACGAAGACATGAGATGCAGAATGCAATGGTGGTGACACGAAAACTTTAGGCGTCATATGATGTGCGGTTTTTGTAGGGCGAAGTTTCTGCATTAGCGACCGGAACTGAGATACCATCTCCTATGTTACTGCTCTCGCCTTTGTTGACTGAAAAAATTCGCCTGGGATAATATGCACGGGTCGTGGCACATGATAGCAGCTTTAAAACTTCGGTGCCACCTTTCTAAAATGCCGTTTGCCTGTGGGTGGTAAGGGGTTGTTCGGAGGTGAACAGTGCCAATCGTGTTCAACAACTCGGCGAATAGGGCGGAGTCGAATTGTCGGCCCTGGTCTGACGTAATTCGTGTTGGAACGCCAAATCGCGAAATCCAATGAGATAAAAGCGCTTTGGCAACGGATTCGGCGGACATATCAGGCATCGGCGCTGCCTCTGGCCAGCGGGTGAACCGGTCGATCATTGTTAGGCAATAGCGCTGTCCTTCGCACAGCGGGAGCGGGCGAACAATATCGATATGAATGTGCGCAAAACGTTGGGTTGGCGGTTCGTAGGTCGCTGGAGCAGATGCAGTGTGTCGGTGGACTTTTGACCGTTGGCATACCTGACAGTTCCGCACGAATTTTGCTGTCTCCCTCTTCATTCCGGGCCAAACAAACCTTTGCGTCATGAGGTTGACTGTTGCACGAACGCCTGGATGCGACAAACC